TGCACCCTTCTCACTCGCATCTTTCGTCCATAGTCAAAATTCACGCAGTCACGTACACGCTTTTCTCACAGTCCAGTCGCTCAGTTCCAGACACTCTTCCTCGCATTCTTTCAGCCACTCGAGATTTTCTAAACGCAGTCACACTATTTTCCAAACATGCCGGTCCGTCGCAATACGACCTGGTCGCCCTTACGCACGCACAACAAACCATTCATCCTACAATACTTTAATCTACGCCAAATATTCTAGATACTACAATAGCGTTAACACTAGAACTACCGAGCGTTCAACACGATTAATATGTAACCCTCATAAAAATTGCAACAACACAACGAAACTATTTATTTTTAAAATCGTTTCGTATATTCAACAGTTTTGAAATATCAATAATTGCAAAATAAAGAAGCTAAAACGTCAACCCGTTGCGAACAAGGATTTTCGAAAATATTCGGAATTTCCAACAGGGGTAATTGAATTACACACAGAACAGAAATACGCATCGATCCGTTTTTATTCGAGTAATTAAATTATACGTTACTAATTTAGTATCTCGAATGTGGGGTTTCGATGTTTCCATAATGCCGACATTCTCAGAGGATTAAAATACAAGCTAGTGATCCGTGTTGTGAGTTAAGTGGCCGAGCGAATCGGGCAACGAGAAGCAGGAAAAAGTGGTACGAGGCCATATTTCACGACAAATAAGCCGGTGTTCCCAGCGTAACTGTCCGATTATCGCAATTCCATTTTCCGGCGATCGAACGTCTGAAATTTCCCGGCCGCAGACATTGTCGGGGCGAAAACGTGAAAGCACGCGTGAAGGCACGAGGACGCTCGGCTAGGCGCGCGTCGAATCCGAGAACTTTGCTCTATGGCAAATCGACTTGTCGCAAAATCCTATTGCTGCCTTCTGCATGTTTCCAGCCGTTCTTCTCGTTTTTCCGCCGTGAAACCCGATAAAACCTCGTTCGACGCCGTGCTCAAATTTTCGAGACGCTTAGTCCCCCGCGATGCTCACCTGGCAATCGGATTTCCGACAATAAACACGTGCGTTCGGTAATATAGAAGTAATAGAAGGGAATAGAATGTTATACAAAATGAAGAAATATAGAATTATGATTGAAAATGGTCTTTACTTCGACAGATGTTACAAAAACAGCTACATTTTGGATATTTTATATGGTTTTCGTATTGAGTTTTCACCGTGTAATGTTTAGATTTCCTATAAAACGTTCAAAATCCGCAATCTACTTACCATGAACGATTTCACGTATTAATTATGAAGTGTTCCGAAGCTTCAGACGTTCGGAGAAGATGAATAACAGAAGAAGGTCGTACGTATTGCATTTCATTAATTCAAGACGCGTGTAACGAGATACATTCCGACGAAGGAAGAAAGGAAATATGTAGAACGCATGGGTTTTCATGAAATTTCGCGATGAAAATTCATAGGTGTTGATCCTCTGCGTTATGTGTCCCGGGGATATTGCGGCGTGGCTGCGTTCACATGACACTAGGAATGACAGCGTCGCGGATAAAAAGGATTAAAACAGAGACGTGATTTTTCGTACAGAATTCGCGAATTGCGTATGAATGACATTAAAATTTCAGTTTGTGAAAGTTTAGATGAAAAGGCCGTGTTTATCGAGAGTGACGAACGATTTGCCAGTATAGACTTAAAGTAAATGCATAATTCATAGTAACGTGACGTAGAAAATAATCAATTCTAATAAAACCTGCTTCGGCCACTTGTATAGTTACGTACTACGTTTTTATCTGTATCTGCCACAAATCCACACAGCAAGCGTCAATCCACGAAATTCCATTGTGTTACCTCCAACATCACCGCCATAATACTACCTACAATATATGTTACAACACGAAGTAAAAGTATTTCACAGTTAAACTGAATACGAGGAGACGTTAACACTTCGACTGCCACGGCGGTCACCGATTACCGGAGCTTTCAAATTACAAGAAAATAATGATGACTTGGAAGACAATTGATTTCAAGTACAAATTTTTTGTAACGTTAATAACTAGATAATAGGGTAATATAAGAATTTTCATATCAAAGAATTAATAATTCTTGGTTCGTTTCTTCGCTATAGAAAGAATAAGTGATACGTAAAACACTGATGATTTTTATGGCAGTCAACGTGTTAATTGCAGAATCTTTCCTACGAAATGGAAAATGCAAAATTTCCGCTCGTTGCTCTGAACTTCGTCGCATTAATGGAAAGCGAATTAAGTGAAACAGAATAAATTGCACAGCATTAAAAATAGAAAACGAGCAGAACGTAATTCATGAAAACCTTAAACAGTCCGTTTGTTATATTCTTTGGACGACGGTCTTCCTGATTTATTTTACATTTGGAAAAATGAAATTCCTCGTGGTCTCATTCCAAATGGCACTCGAATGAATCGACATCACGAAGACACGTGTTGTCTCTTCGGTTCCACTTGTCGACATCAGACTGCTGTGCTATGAAGTTAATTGCATGCTGCACGTCGAGCACGCGTATGCATTTGGTACGTCGCCTGAGAAGACTAGTAGACGACGTTTTAAATAGGAGCAGCTAGTAATGGATAGAAGGAGCCGGATAGAAGGGAGAGTTCCCACAGGATAGCTTCCTAGGAATTGCGTCTATTTATTGATCGTTCGCTGCACTGGAATATTCAGTCGAACCTTGGCCTCCATCCACCTTCAGCCTACCTTTGCATGATCCTCGTCTTTGGATACGATTGCCTCCATTTTCTCAATGACGACGGGCTTTGATAATGCAACGGCTGGGAGACAGATAGCCGAGAGTTGGGTACGACCGTGCAGATGAAATATACTTCGCCAGAATCTAACGAACTATTAGAATATTCCATGAAATTGACATTAGAAGCTGGACTACCATAATTCAAGGTATGAAAAGACGAACTGCTAGTACGTTATTCATATTCATTAATGGAATATGATGAAAATTTTGATAGTATCTAGTTCTATTCGATGTGACCACCTTATGCATTCGATAATTATGAAAAATATATTTATTTCGCGTATCTTTATAATTCTGTTAAAATACTTAAACGACTGGAGACATTATTCGAACAACAAATGGACGCTTCTGATTTATTATAAATTCATATACATACATCTAGAATCTATATCTTGTGTTACGTGCTCTGTAGCTTAGAAATGATAATAATTAATAAATATCTGCATTCGTATACCTGTAAATATACACACCTTACACTCTACAATATATAATTTTATTGCTGCCTCGCTATTACAAATCCCCCATCTACCAGATGGGACAAAATGATCCCAGATTCCTACATTCATGAATATCGAAGACACACATATTTCTCCTACAAATCACTAAACTCGATTCAATAATACCCAAACTGAAGTATAAGCGTTTCAAAGTTCGTTATAATGTCCAGACAAGAATTCCAAGGAGGCCGCTTGAGCTACTCCATAATTCTAGCGTTAAACGTGTCGAACGCAACGATGAAAGAAACGAAGTAACGCGGTCAATATTTTTTCACCGCGGTCAATATCTAATTCCGACGGGCACATTGTGTTCCAACGATTCCACGTTCTTTCTCCTGTTCGTCGGTGGGAATCGAGGACGGGAATTAATCGCGTTGGAGGAATCGGAGGGAAAGGGCCGATACAGATCGGTCCTCCGGCAGCAGGGAAAAGTGAAGCTCTCCCGGCTGCGCTATTAGCTCTTAAGCTAAGCCGGAAATTCCAGACCGGATGCCGGCAGTCGCAGCCGGCGAAAAAACCCGGCCGAGGAGAGCGTCGGAAGATGGAGGGCGGACCGTACGAGGAGAGAAAAGGATTTATAGGGATCCAGCAACGAACGCGCTCCCACGTGGCCCGCATGGCGATAGTTTGTTTTACGTCCACCGCGAACCGACCGCGGAGGATTCAATTAAATCTGATGTTCATTATTGGCACACTCCTTTTTAGAGCTATATGGGGTGAACCGAGTCGAATCGGATTCGCGGGGTGAATGAGATTGGAATAGGAGTCCAGTCGACATTTGGTATATCGGGAATTATATTTCTTATTATTACAATTGTATTAATTATATTAATTATTATAATTGTATTAATTGTATTAATTAGAGTTATAATTAGATTAGTTGTATTAATTATTGTTATAATTATGTTTCTTGTTTTTCATTTGCGAGAGAAAGATTCGAAAATTCTTGTCCACTGTTGATGAATATATAAGTATTCTTATTTCTTTTAATGGACCATTAAGCGGGGAATGTCGATAAAAATATACGAATGTTACTTAGCATTGAGTTGGAATTTGTTGCTCATTATAGCAGGGTTTCTAATTTATTTGCAACTAATAAATCTGCGATTCATAAAATGCTTGGGTTATCGTTTATTAGATTAATATATAAAGTGTCAGTGACGGTACAGTACATTAGAATACTTCATAAAAGGACAATTTCATATTATACAATAAATCTTTGTTTCCATAGGAACGCACTTTGAAAATAATATTCGAAGCAAACAAAATAATTCTTATCCGTTATCCAGCCCTCCTGTCTTTCCCCAGAATGCTGAAGGTATCGTCTCCATTCATCATCCTAACCTATTTATTCCTCCTCTTTTCTCTTCATCCTGATTCAATCACACTTAGCAGAAAAAAATGAAGCTCCCCTAATTTCTTAAGAAAAATACTCCTCTTCTCCAAGCCAGACGTCCTTCGACCGATCGCGCCCCTGTCCTAATCGATATCCTCGCTTCCAATCTTTTTGAAAGTGACTCGGTTCGAGTCCAATTTTCGTTCCTTGCCTCGTTTGACGAGTTTCATTCCTGGACGCGCCTAAGACAAGACACATCATCGGAATTTACGCATTTCTCAAACACACAACCGTCCACGATGTAAAACAGACAAGTTTCCGGGAGAATTCAAGAAGAATACCGTTTCATTCGTAATTTATTAACCCCTCGCGATAAAATGCTATCGTAATCGACGCTTTACTACCTAAAGCTGGAATCTCCAAATGAATAATTCAGTTATTCAAACAACGAGAAACCGATACACGGCTTCCTCTTTCTGACATCTAAGGCTTAGATGCATAATTCGCTCCTTTGCACAAACAATTCTTTAGAAATCGTACAAATCCTCAGAGGAAACCGCAAGGAAAACCAAACTCTCCAAGATATCGCGAATATCAGCCTATCATCAATGCCCGCGTAGCTGAAGTCTCAAAAGATCAATCTCCATCAAGCTCCAACACCTCAATCCTCCAGAAGCAATCAATTCATCATAAAACCCCCAATCCACGAATCATACCTGCAAGCCGGAGGTCTTCGCCAGTCTCCGATCGATCCGGGTATTCTTTCCGCTAGCGTTGATTACGTCTTTGATGGAGTCCGGGCAACTCGCGGCGTCGGATAACGTCTCGCGGCCTCGCTCGCCGCACGTTTCGGTGGATCTGTCCTCCGTGGAGGGTCTGCGGATCCGTCTGGTCACAAAGTGATCCAACGGATTAAGATACTCAATTTCTAGCTTCCTTGGTACCTCTCGGTCGTTCAGCGCCGGCTCGCTCTCTTTGATGAAGTCAAAGAGACCGGCCGCGTTCGCCGCCACCCTCGCCCCGGAGTCCGCCAGATGTAGTTGCATCGAGTTCAGCACCACCTCCGCTGGCGGGTACCTGGCCCCGTAATGGTCACGCAGGCACGCTTCGAACGCTTTGTAGCGGCACGAGCTGTACGTGCAACCGATGTCCACCACTGGTAGCGTCTCGCCCGTCTCGACGAACGTGAACGAGTGTTTCGCCTCCGGTGACGAGGCGTCGGTCCGCCTGCTGGCCGACGGTCTGGCCAGGGCTGGCGAAGAGGAGACGGCTCGCAAGTTGGTTAACAGCATCTTCGAGTCGGACTCCGCTTGGAACGTTGACGGCTCTTTCGTGTAGTGCTCGAGCAGCTTTGGCGGAGGAGTTTTGTTTGCTTCGTCGTCGGTCGCGTAGTAGTGGAAGATGGTGAACAGCTTCTTTGGATCCGTCTGGTGAGTATTTCGGTGGTTATGGGTTTGACTGATTTTTGGAAGGATGGACGTGTGTGCGATGAGATAGGTGGATCGTGGAGGAATGCGTGGAGATGGGGAAGAATGGAGGTTATGCTTGGGTGAGAAAGATGGGAGAGAAGAGACGTTGGGAGTTGAAGGATGTCGGAAGATGGGAATAGAAAGAGGAAGTAATGTTGCAAATATGTATACGAGTATTAAGGAAACAGTGGAAATGATAAAAATCATTATTTTATATTAGTATAAAGTAATGAATGAGAAGCATAGTGTAGGTTAAGGTTACTGTTTACAATTAGGTTACCGCCATAACCAAATAATCGAGCATAGCGGATCTCCAGGCGAAAGTTCACGAATTAAGAACACCTGAAATCTACGGAGAAACGAATGTAAGGTTTTGAATTACATACAATTAGCATGTAGAACTGGACGACGAGGGGCAGCATCAGTATCAAGGAGCATATTACGGCGTAGATGTTCTCCATGATGGAAGCGGCGAATTAGGTGATCTCTCCGCCCTTCTTACGTAAAGGCCGAGGTTTTCTGCCGTTTCTGCGGGCGGGATGTCTTCATCGTTTTGTCAATTCCAACGCGGACGGGACACATTGTAAACTCTCATTTGAAAGCCCGTCGAGTGTCGGGCGCCATCGGACACCGCGACAGGGTGTAATCGATTTTCGCGATTTGACGTCACGAGATGCACGCGCACGCACACGGGAGTAAAAAAAAATTCCGTCATTTGTTTACGAAAACTGGTTCCGAGCGTGATCATGATGGAACGCGTCCGTCCGCCATTTTTGCCGCCCGAAACGCGTGTAAATGGAATATATTTCCGATAGATTTCGATTGACGGGAAAAATAACGATCGATCGGATAGACATAGGGGTACCACTAAAAATATCTGCGGATGCTTGGGACGAATAGTGACGGGTTTCATTATACTACTAGGAAATTGCGGGCGGTACGCGCGAAATGAAAATTTCGTCGCCGAGCGCATAAAAGGGAGGATCCCGTTACGCGCAGCGCGCGCCATTTGTCGCGTTTTAATATCCTTTTGAGGAATTAACGTCGTCGCATAATTATATTTGCGGAGGGAACTCAAATATCGCGGATTTTTCGCAGCCGCGACTGGAATAATATTACTTCGGACACATTGTTGGAAAGCTTTCTTATCTGCGCTTCATTAATAGAAATTAAAAATTACTGTATCACCACAAGTAATTCTATAATATTATAATACGAACATTACCTGTATAACGTGTCGTATTTTTCGTTTGAAACTTTATTCAAGTGAAATTTCATTCGAAACGTTTACATGAAACGTTATTTGGATAATGTTAAACCTATGCTTAAAATCTCAATTACTTTAGTATAATTTTATTTGATCTTAAACACTTTCTACTAACTAATACCACTAATCGATAAAGCAAAATATCCCTCCAAGAAATTCTCAGTTCTCAACAATCCTCTAAGATACAACATTTGAACAGTACGTATCAGTGAAAACTGGTTTTACTTCCCTCATCTCGCAACAATCAATATCCGAAAACCGTTAAACATCCAAAATCATATACAGAATAAATATTTCCACTCGAACACTATAACGAATACCCAAAGAGACCGAAGGAAATCTATCGCCACGATTTCCACAGGAATCGTGTATCAGTATTATTAAATACTCAGTAGCTCCATCATTAAACACACAGAACAACAGCCATTTTCATTCTCCGCGGAGTCCTATCGCCGATTCACGAATGGCCGTCCCAGTGCGTCGAGATCTCGAAAAACGTGTAACGTTTAGCAAGCCGGCGGGGGCGTATTCGTGGGAAAGGATCAGCAAAGGGTCGCGTCATCGTGAAAGCCGGCACCGGAAACAGCAATGACCCGTGGAAAGCGGCGAGACATTCGTACGGCAATCAGGCTGAAGCACGGGGAACCATTCAAGTTGCGGGCTTTCATCGTCGCCTTACAAGTTCCTCCACTTTTCCGCCATCCCCCGCCTCCGGCCGCCTTTCCGCTGTCTGTCCGTTCCTCTTTTCCTTGCGCGGACCACCCTTTCTCGCGTCGCCCTCTTTTTCCGGCCCTCGGTCTTCCTACGGCCCTCTTTGAGCCGTACCGAACTGTATATAAAGTGGCGCTACTAAATTGGAAACCGCAGCTTTGCCGATGCTATTGCCACCCCTTCTTTTTATCCCTGTCGTTTCTTTCCTCCCCATTGAGCCCCGGCGGTCCCCTACTCGACTCTCGCTCGGCCGCCGCGCTGGCCGCGCGCTCACCGGTCAGGACGGATCGTTGTTAGAGTTGACACTAGGGCCGGGATTTATTGGCCGGCCCGTTTTCGAATCCCTCCGGTTACTCTGCCACTGGAAAATTCGCCTGTCCTGCCGCTTTGATAACTTTCTCTTGGGCAACCGTTCGCGCCAAGAGGACCCTCTTCCGCTACCGGAGTGCGGATACTCCGGCCGACGCCATTTTGTAATCTTACGCGACTGCCTCTGGAGTTATGGTGATTTTAAAGTTATTTTATACGGAGCTTTTTAATCTCGCGCGACTGTTTCTGGAATTGTCGTGATTCCAATAGCATTTTATGAGAGGCTTTTTCAATCTTCCGAGTGTTTTCGAATTATGCTGTTTCCAACGTTCTTTTACACGATCGTTTCTAATCTCACGCGAATGTTCTTGGAATTTTTATAATGTTTTAAGTAATATTTCTTTGAAGTAAACAGAAAATTTCGTCCATTCTCTCTGCGACTCGAGAATCTCCGCGTTGCTCGACATCTCGGAATCTCGCGACATTTTACGATTATCCCCTACATCATTTTCGAGAAACCATTTCGTCGAATGTTAAATATTTCAAATGCGCGTTTCACTAAATTTTCAATTAATTTCCCGCTGCTTCATTACAAAAGCAAATTAACTATTGAAGCAACGAAATGAACTGCAACATTGTTCGTCGAATGTTTAGCTCGGCAAACACGCGGCGTATAGACATTGTAAGGCATTGATTAACGAGGAATAATTATCGAGATGCGTTCGCCGAGCGGGATCGATGCGCGAATTAATTGCTCTTTTACAATTGAGTCCCGCTCGAACCTGGAACGGCCGCCTTCGCAAGGACCGGTAAGAAAGGATCGAGTAAATCTCGCGATATTCCACGTAAATTGGCAAGGTAATTCCTTATCGGGCATTCCTAAACGATGGTAATCGACGTTTGCGGAACAGTCTTAATTAATTCCGGGTGAATCGGCCCCCCGACATATATTAAATCCGCCGGCCTGATATCCATCTATACTCGTTCGTGGTAGGAATCGACGTTCTGGTTATATCGGCCCCGAATTTCCCCTCGGCCCCTCCGCCCGTCCCTCCCGGCCCCGCGTCCCGCAGGAGTTTCGGGATAGGATCAAGAGTTTCGGAAACTCGGTGCTTAACGTTTCGTGAAAATTGTTATGGGACGATGGACATCGTTCGGCGAACTCCTAAGATGCGACTAATTTTAATACACAGAATTATTAGTGTGCGCCGGATGATGGGATCAGGGAAGACGAGCGCCGATGGCGACATCATTTTGTAATTTTACGTTTCGTGTCCATGGAAGTGTTCGCCGTCCAAGGCGTCGGTAATTGAATCATTCATTTACTAAAGTGATTAATTTCACAAAATGAGAAGGTAGAGTCCGACGAAAAACGTGCATATCAGTGAGATTCGGAAGTTTCGAAATTGAAGTTAATCGCGTAAACCTGTGGACGTTCCAGTTCAGAATGTACGCTCCTGTTTTTAATTAAGTAAATCAATGTTCGGTATATTTCGAATGCATAGGTTGAAATTGTTGAGTATCAAATATCGGATATTTTGAACAAATGAAACACTTAATAACGATTTTCGAAATGAATGAACATTGAAATCTTCAATATTAGAATATTCAATAACCTCTAATCCTATCCTCCACACTATCCTCTACGTCGACCCCTTAGAATAATCATTGTCTGTAATTCCCAAAGTATTCCTTATCGAATCGATTCACCTCCTCAACTGGTCCTGTTCGCTAAATTAAAACAAACAGCATATTCTTCTCAATTCCCATTATTCCTGTAGCAAAAGGGTAACAAAATGCCCGCAAATAAACTCGACAAAAACCATAGAAGGAAGACGGTTTAGCGGGCAGAGTGAGGTCACTGCTATATCATTCCGTCCAAGTGTATCCATTTCCCGCGGAGCGGAAGACAGTTACGCGATATCGGAATTTTAAGGCGCAACGGCTATCCCGGATTCCATCCGCAAACATTATAACTCTTAGGAAGCGGACGCGTTACTGTAGCCGGCCGAAGAATAGTGGTATCGACGTCTTCGGATTAAAGTTAATCCGGTCGAATCGGCATTCTCGTGGAAACCGCCGG